ACGAATGAAAGTGGGCTTAAAGAAGTTGTTTGTGTTAGGGGTCTACGCCCCAGACATGTCTAAGCCCACTTATATCCGGGAGCAGTTTTGGGAAATGGTAAGGATGGTGTTAATGAAGTGTAAGGGAAATGAAAATATTATTATGCTAGGAGATTTTAATGGAAGGGTTGGGGTGAGGAGGCTTGGTTATGAAAGGATATTGGGAACGTTTGGTGATGAAAGTATAAATGAGAATGGTGAAAGCCTCCTCACCGTATGTGTGGAAAGGAATCTTTTTGTGACGAACACTTTCTTTCGTCATAAGAAGATTCACATGTATACTTGGGAAAGAGGTGATGATAGAAGCATGATAGATTTCATAATTGTGGATGAAAGAATGAGGAGCGCAGTGGTGGATACAAGGGTTTACCGGGGGTCCAACGTAGGGACGGACCACTACCTGGTCTTATGCCGAATTAGGGGTTTATTCAGACGTTGGCAGCATAGGACATCTGTGTCTACCACTGCGTTACAGCGTATAAGAATTGAGAGGTTACAAGATGAAGATGTGAAAGACAAGTACAAATGCAGACTGAGAGAAAATATAAGTAATTTGGATGAAGTGTGTGTGAATGAGTTAGACTTGGAGAATGTGTGGCATAATGTTAAGAAAGGTTTAGTGGATGCAGCTACCGAAGTATGTGGTGTTAGTAAGAGAACGAATGAAAGGAAAGACAATACGTTATGGTGGGATGATGAGGTACGTATGGAAGTTGAAGCAAATAAGAGAGCATGGCTAGATTTACTAGCGACCAAAGCTGGTAACTCTGGCGGTAAGAATGATGAGAATGAAAGAAAAAAGGCAGAGTTTAAACGTTTAAATAAGAGAGTAAAAGAATTAGTTGAAAGGAAAAAGCAAGAAAGAACGGATAGGAATGATAGAAGAATATCGGATAACTTCCAGGCAAATATTAAAATGTTCTGGAAACTCGTAAGAAATACCAGGGGACTTTCAAAACAGCCTAGATTGAATGCGATACGAGACGAGAATGGCTGTATCCTGAATGATGAGGTGTTGAGTCTAAAGAGATGGAAGGAATATTTTGAAAGCGAATTTATGAGTGAGGAGAAGTGTGAACTAAATGAAATAGAAATTCCGAAAGAAGATGAAAGAGATAGGGAGATAAGTATAGATGAAATAATGAAAGCAATGAAAAGTATGAAAGTAGGTAAGGCAGCCGGATATGATAGAGTTTCACTCGAAATGCTAAGGGCTGGAGAGGACGTGGTGGCAGGCCTGCTGTACACCTTGTTTAATTTATGTTGGGAACTAAAGCGGGTACCGGGAGACTGGTGCAAAGCCGTGATAGTCCCAATATATAAGGGAAAAGGGTCACAGCAGGACTGTAAAAACTACCGTGGTATCAGCCTTCTTAGCATTGTGGGAAAACTGTATGCTAAGGTACTAATTGAAAGAGTTATGAAAGAAACTGATGAAAAAATTTGGGATGTGCAAGCGGGATTTAGAAAGGGAATGGGGTGTACAGATCAAGTCTTTTCCATGCGCATGATCGCGGAGAAGTTTTTGGCGAAAAACCAAAAAGTTTTTTGTGCGTTCATGAACTTTGAAAAGGCTTATGACAGAGTGGACAGGGATGTGTTATGGCAAACGCTGAACGCATTTAGGTTGAGCGCTGGTTTGATACAGGCATTAAAGTCTCTGTATGTGGACTCGAGTGCTTGTGTTAGAATCAACGGGGTCTACTCGGACTGGTTTGGCATCCATAAAGGTGTCAGACAGGGCTGTGTAGCTTCCCCGTGGCTGTTCAACCTATTTATGGACAGCTGTTTGGAAAATTTGAAAGTTGAAGAATGCGGGTTAAGAATGGGCGAGTTAAACATCAAATGCCTTTTGTACGCCGATGATCAAGTCATACTTGCGTCGTCGGCGGCCGAGTTGCAAATGATGGTTACATTAATGAACAGGTCATTAAAAGAAAGGGGAATGAAAGTGAACGCAAGTAAGACGAAAGGGATGGTTTTTGAAAGAGATGAAAGCAAAACGGTATGTGAAATAAGAATAGAAGGAGAGTTAATTGAGCAAGTGGATGAGTTCGTATATTTGGGGTGTGTTTGTGACAGTGACATTGAACGACGAGTAAATGCAGGAAATAAAGTAAATGGGGCTCTACACTCTATTGTGAAAAGTCAGAATGTGTCAAAAAAGGCACGTATGGCAATTCACAGTGCTGTATTAGTCCCTACTTAACGTATGGTAGTGAAAGTTGGGTGTGGCAGAAGAAGCACGAGAGTAGAATAAATGCAGTAGAAATGCGGTCGCTAAGGAATATGTTAGGGCTGAATCTGAGTGACAGGGTGAGAAACTGTGTGATAAAAGAAGAGTGTGGTTTGCAAGATGATGCGGTGACCAGGATTAAGAAAGGAATGCTTCGGTGGTTTGGTCATGTAGAAAGAATGAATGCGGAAAGACTGACAAAGCAAATATATGTTGCAGAAGTGAATGGAAGAGTCGGAAAGGGACGTCCTAGGCGGAAGTTTGTCGACCAAATTGGCGATATACTAAAAATTGGACAAATTAAGAGTACCCTTAACCGACGAGCATGTATGCGTAGGTATATGGATGTGGAAGAGGCGAGAAAGGTATGTCAGGATCGTGCTAAATGGAAGTCTGTAGTCTCTGCCTACCCCTCTGGGTGACAGGCGTGAGTGTTTATGTAATGTATGTATATTATGTAAAATATAGATGATGATGATGATATAATCGTCAAAATAATATCAAGGCAGATTTGGTTTTAATGTAAAATAAAATAAGTTTTAAGACTTACGTTATACCTTTGACTATAACTGAGGCCCATTAACTTAATCGAACAATATCTGATCGAAATATAAGAGAAAACGAGTATTCGCAATAAGGTCATCATTTGCGATGGGTCACTATAGCCTTCAGACTTAAACGATTCCCTGTATAAGTTATGGTTGCAATATTTATGACCATCTGTTTTTCTTGTCTGTTAATAATGATGAGGATCTTAGTATGCAACATAATTGATCATCTTGAATTTTCGACGTCTCGACGTCGAATTTCGCAACTCTACAAATATGGCTACAAGCAACGGCAAATGATGAATAATTATAAACTATTTTAAAATAATTTAAAGAAATCGTTTTATTGAATCTTATCTTATTACAATTAAATTTAAAAATAATTTAAAGACATTATTTTATTTTATCTTAACTTTATATTTACTTTTGTCCAAGTTTATTTTTTTAAATTGACTAACATCTCGATCTCAATGCCAACTATCGGGTCTAGATGTGGTGATTCTCTTTTTTTTTTGACACTAAATGAACGTATATTGTGTTATATACATATTTGGTCTGTAAATATAGAATTTGTATATTTTTTTACTACACTTCCACTTACCTGATCCGTGTAAAGCTGAATTCATCAATAAATTCGTTTTGCGGATATGACCGGCCTTTCAGGTGTTACACGATCACTAATAGGCAATTGAACCAAAAACGCTCAGTTTGTTCGTATTGCTAGAACCGTCATATAATGCGTCATTGATATTGCGTGCCGTTTGAGACGTCTTATTTCCACGTCGCTACCCATATTCAAAAATAATACGAATTTTTTTAGCGTCCATGGTTATAAATATAGTGATGTTTCGTAAAGAACAAACTCCAAGAAACAAGTCAATAACTAGTCTTGAAAAAAGAATAACATGTTAAAATACTTTTTGAATTTAGAATTACTAGCGAAATCATAACTATTCTACCTAAGTTGCCAGTTTAACAAAACAGCGATTTCATGAAAATATAAAGATTTTGGGTTTCTCAACGGCCTTTAGAATTCATTGCTGCGGTGCTGCACATAGATGGTGCTGCAGGATCGGCTTAAGATTTTCTAATCACATTATAAGTTAAGATAAAATTGATCGCATTTTTAATTGCTAAAATAAAAATCCACTAAATGTCCTAGTAATATAAGAACATAGATCCCATTTAGTCTTGCAGGTGTCTAACAAACACTAAAATAAAAGTTCTATGGTCAAAGTTTTAATTATTAAAAATTTTCAAAGCATTCTCTACCAGCATCTATACAAGTTTTATACATCTGAACCAATTTTCTAAATACTTTTTCCGCTACGCCTCAGACATTTATTCTGCTTGCCCGAACGCTGCTATCGCATCTGCCGGCAAGTGAAATTGTACGAATGAAGGGTCTTTACCCATAAATGCTATATTTTAAGTCCATCAAACGATTCATTTATTTTAGGCGTCATTCGAAAACGTAAAAAATCAGCGTTCGAAAATGTTTCCAACGCAGATCCATTACTCAATAAAACACGATATTTTAATTTAGTGAGGTTGTAAAGAAATCTAGAGAGAACTATAAAATTAGTACATTTGCATTTTTTATTTGTAAATAATTTTATTTAAGTACAAAATAAATTTCAATTGACTCTGAAATCTCAAAAAATCTCAAAATTTTTTGCGTGGTCATTATATTTAAAATAAGTTAAAGATTCCAATTAATGACGGCGTAACTATAACGTAAGTGAGAGAAGTAAAATACTAAATAAAAACTATCGGCGAAAAACAATGTCAGAGGCGGAGACGTGTGGTACTGCGATCGAATATCTACCTGCGAAACGTTGCAGTAAGGGCTAATACCCCAACAAAAAGAGAAATTAAGATCCTTTTGATTTTTTACAGGTTGATAAAATGAAAATTTAGAAGATAGAACAAATTTACACGTTAACGCGTTGTATTTATGCATATAAAATGGAATAATTTATCTAATGATAACGATATATAATTTTCATAACTATGAACACAACTGGATAGCTTTTGACGGTCGATATCAAACAGATCATGTAACACAATATTATCTGTATCGTCATTTATTCTTGATGTGTTGTTCATAGTATCTAGTTGAGTGCTCTATTCATTTTCAGTTAAACTTCGTGGAATTTTACTAATAACACTTCATCATGGACCATAATGTAAGTATTTGTTTTAACTACTCATTATTATTCGCCTGTCATAATTAGTAAATTATTTGGCTATATGGAAAAGGGATGGGCCTTTTGTATTCCAGTCCTCTTCGAAGTCTTGGTAAAGTAAACATTTTTGTAAAAGTTACTTTTTTGTTTCGGGTCCGGGTGCATATAGTTATTATTTTATAGAAATGGGGACAAACGAGCACGAGAATCACCTGATGGTGGCTGCCTTTTGGAAATGAGTAAGCTCTTTTCTTGAAGGTCCCTAAGTCGTATCAGTCCAGAAAAACCGCTGGTGGTAAACGATTTCACAAAGGGGTCGATCGAGGAAGAAAACTCGTAGTAAATCCTACAGTGGATCACCAAGCATCCAATTGGTGTGGATGGTATCGTGAGATTTGTTGCGACGCGCGTTCGTGAAATTTGGCGGCTGGAATCAATCCGAACCATTCCTCAAAGCACTCCCCGTGATAGATGCGATAGATGCAAAGAGATGCAACATCTTTTATCGAGCCCATTAGAAAGGACGTCGATGATTCGAGCCGCCCTGCGCTGAATGCAGTCAAGTGGAAGGAGCCGGCACTGGAAAGCTCCGGCCCTTAGATGGTAGAACAGTATTTCATGTGTGTCTCTGTATTCATGCTTACCTCAGATTGCGTCTATAAAGTGTTGGTTTGAATGGAGTTAAATAAATGAAGTAAATTTTTTTGCAAATAATTATTCATATTATACCCTGCCTAATAAACAATTACTTCCTAACTTCTAATATTGTCTACTTGCCCTGTGAGGGCAGCAAGCAATTAGGTATGGACAAATCTTTCACGGTTGCATCAAAATTAAAAAAAAAGTTACAGCCATTCTTGGACTTTCTCGTTTATCGTGGAGGCAGTTTACATACATAAATATATAAATTTCATAAGGACAAACATTCAGACCCGGAAAAATTGTAATTACAATAATATATGTGCAGGATTGATTAGAAAGACTATTATCTTACAGTGTATTTAGTATTTTTTATAGCATAACGGTGATAAACGAGTACACAGTCCACTTGATGGTAAGTGGATGCTGTGGCCCATAAACGTTCACATTTAAACTCGATCAAGAATCAAAATGCAGATGCGCTGTCACTGCTGAAGGCTAAGTTGGAATGCCTCGATTCCAGCAACAGGGGTCTCCGGTTCTCTACACTCACCATACTAAACACAGCAGCATTAAGCTGCTATTTTACACTAGTATTCTGTGAGAGCGTGATCCTTCCCCGGTCGAGCCGACCCATTCGATTTACAACCATAATATAGCTGCAGCAAGGCTCAACTACGTATAATACCTTCTATGTTATTGCTTTTGTTTCATAGACCTTATTATCATATATCCTAAATATGGGACTATTAGATTGTACAACAGTACTTTTAGTATAAGAAGCGACAACGGATTGACTAAGCTGTTGTTAGGTTAGCTGATTAGTATCAATAGCATGTAGATCACTTATGTGAATGAGATGGAGCCAGTTTGCCTGCCGTTGAAACACGTGTCATGGTTTAGTAAACTATCATAAAGAAAACTGCCATGATACTCGTACGTTGGTGCGTTAAATAGTTATAGCCGTTTAAAGGTCTGTTAATTAGCTAACAAAAAATTAAATATCACCTCGTAATATTTATTCTACACAATATACTTCTACAGAAGATTTAAAATAAAAATAGAAAATTAAAAATTTAAATAAAACCCAGTAGATTTTTAGTAAATTTAATGAAGTTTTAAGGCGATTATAAAGTTTTTTACTTTATTATATTCGTTGATGCCTCCTCTGTGTTTGTATACTATGTAGTCATGAATTGACGGACCGAATCACACGAGTTTTTCCAACCTTCCGGGGGAAAAATAATATTTTTACTGGTATCCCAACCTATATGAACAACCCACTGGCAACACTATCCACTATACACCTCATGTTATTGTGAATTTTTCGTGCGGAATCAGCGAGTCGCATCTTCAAATTAAAAAGTTTAAAATTGGTTTTTAAGTAAAAGTTCTTAATTTTATTATTAGCAACATGTGAAAACTTACTTATTTAATACTCATAAACGTTTTGGGCGATTGCAAAGTATTTAATTTTTGCATTTAAATAACTTGTAAGGTAGATTAACTATAACACGAATTGTGAAATCTATATTTGAAACAGAACGAGCATCTGTAAGTACATAATTTTTCAACAAAATTAATAAGTATATTGTATTTATTTATTGAATACGTATATTGCATAAGTATTTTTTTTTTCAAAACCTGTAGAAGGTAGCAATATAAAATCAATGTATGAGACAGAGCAATAGTCGGTACATTACATATTATCTGCCTTGCGGTGCCACGATACGGGCATACGAGACGTTGAATTCTACTTTATAAGAATATTCATACATTCTTATTTACTACCAAAATATGTTTAACATTACTGCTTACAGATTGTCACCCTTGAGGACTAAGGTGGAATGCCTCGTTTCCAATGAAAAAGGACTTCGGTTCTGTACACTCACCATACGAAACAAGCAGCATTAAGCTACTATTTGACGCTGGTATTCTGTGAGAGCGTGGAACTTCCTCGGTCGAGCCGACCCATTCGTGCCACACCTATACTACTAATATAACTGCAGCATGGCTCTACCACGTATAGAATGATATGAATATTTATACGTTCATATTTACTATCAAAGTGTATAAAATATCATTGATTATAGCGTAATAAAACGCAATATAAATCTATGTATGAGACAGAACGAGAGTCTGTACATTACATATCTGCCTTGCGGTGCCACGAGGGGGTACACAAGGCATTGAATTTCATTTTATATGAATATTAATACGTTCATATTTACTACCAAAATGTATATAATATTATTGCTCACAGTCTAATAAAAACGCAATATAAAATCTATGTTTGAGACAGAACGAGTCTATAGCACATGTACATATCTGGCTTGCGGTCCCACGAGGGGTTACATGAGGCATTGGATTCTATTTCACATGAATATTCGTATGTTTTCTTTTCTATACAAAAATGTATACAACGGTTATTATACCCGCGGTACCACTGGCGTGTACACGAGGCTATTTTCACAACTCTTACTCATTTTCGGGACAAAAGAGGAGAAAAATTATTTGCTCAAGTGATGAGGAGGATAAAGATTCTGTTTCACACAGCATTCTAAACCCAAAAACTTATCAGTCCATCTTGTAGTAAGGGAAAAATTGCTTTTATATTCTCCAAATTCCATTCTTTTTTAACAAGAGGCAAATCAGAGATAGAAGGTTACCTATGTGAAAAATGAGCCATATACTTTCAAATTTCAACATTGTATATTGTCTTATCAAGAAGACTGGTGAAGAAAATAATGATGCTGTAAATAACTGCATTAGACTGTTATATGCCGTATACAATTTAAAGGCTCCTTTAAGAACAGCATTACTGCTGTCAGAGCTAACCAATGATTATAAAGAAAGCTCTTAAGGAAACCCAAGTGACTTCTTATTTGGTACAGAATTTTGTTTTAAAAAGATTAAAGAATCTTCATATATCGAAAACAAACATTCAGAAACCTTTAAAATATTGGAACCTGTCTCCATCAGTAACAACTCACTAGACATGCAATGGCCTCCACCAGTTGCTTTATACCAGCAGAGGTGATACTATCAAGTAATATGTGGCAGGTGCCAAGCCCAACCCTCAAGGAAAAAAGAATAGTGGTAAACACAGCTAAAGAGGTAAGCAAATTCACTTGATCCTATTTTATTCCAAATGGTCTAAAATATTGTAAAAAAAAACTTTCTCATAGTAGGTCGACAACATACATGAGTCAAACACGTCCTCTCACATATATTGAGTTTAGTATGTCAGAAAATATTGTATTTAATATTAATTAAAACTAGTCATAATTTTGTTTTTACTTATTGGAATACCATGATATGATATATACATAGATGAAGAAATTCAGAAAATAAAAAGTGGAAAATTCTAGAATTGCTGTTAATTAGATTATAAAGTTAATTAAAATAAAACAATACCCTAAAAGTACATTTAAATAACTTAGTCTTAACATATAAAGTTATAGCATTTTCGTACCTGAAGTGAAACACAAATATTGAATGATAAGTCATTTATTCAATTACAATCCACTACAATCATCTAGGAAATATGCTTATTTAAAAGACAAATTAATATCTGTTTGTCCAGCTATCTTTTATGGGTAAATGTATACAAAAAAATAAAATTTATCAAAAGAGAATAATTTTGAATTCAAATTAATTCTGAAAAATCATATTCAGATTTCAAGTAATCCAATTACAGGGGTGCTTATAAAATGAAAATCCTTATAGTTCTTAATTAAGACATAACATATTGAACATATTTTAGTTTTTACTTTTGATCATAACGTTTTGTTATAATCCCCAAAGCTAAAATTTCTTATAACACTACAGCTATATCATAATTACATAAACTACATGGGTGACATGTAATAACCACATCAAGTGACATAGCTTGTTAAATTGACCTTGTGAAACATATGTATTTCTTTTTTACCTTATAAATAACATCTTAGTATGTTAGTTATAGTTATGAAAGTTCTCTCGTATGCAAAGAATCCAGGAAAACTAACGGCGAAATAAAATGGGAATAAAATTCCTAAACCTATAAAAAGATTGTCTATAAGATTTTATCCAAAAGTAATAGATAAACTTAAGTTCATGCATTTGCTATTAGAAAAAATATAAATGCATAAAATTCATTGGTCAACCGTATGTTTTATGCACTATTCTCCACAATCTTCAAACAGAATACAGAAGAGGAAACAACACTACACTATAAAATATTACGGATTTACCTATAACTCTTTTACTTTTCCTTCCGCCCCGTTTCTTTTTATTCAAGGAATAACCTTCTAGTCTTCATAAGCCTGTTACTAAAATATTGTTAAAAAATTACGATTTATTAAAACTCTTACGCTGGT